GATGCAGGAGTTGGGATTGTGTACAAAATGTGAGCTTTTTATCTGCAAAACTTTTCTCTGTAAATATGTTTTGGCCAATGTTTTTGGTTCTCTTTATTTTGCTATCGTTTTGAAGATGTTAATGGTTTTATTGTAACTTTTAATAAGGGTAAAATAAATGTTTGATCCCCTCTTGCTGTGCTCTGGATTGTTATTTGCACTGTCTGATTCTTTTGCCGCCTACATAGGTATCATCACATTCAGTAATGAATGTAAAAAAACACGCCTGGCTGAGCAATTTTGGCATAACAAGGGCCAGGACTGGCGTCACAAAAGATATTTCAAATTAGCGTGATCCTGCTGGAGTCGAATGCACTTTCCAAGCCTCTTCTGCCACGCCTTCATACAGTTCAAGGAGTCTCCCTTCTGTTATCATGGCCATCTAGATGTCATTCCCATCTTCAAATCGCATCCCCTTGACGAACCCATTGGGCTTCCGAAAGTGGGGTAAAAAATCTCAGAGCCAGATCGAGTCAGGTTGCTCCCACATGGTGATGTTCTCCTCAGTCAAACTGTCAAGACGTTCGGTGCATTGTGAGCAGGCCTGTTCTGGTGAGTACGCACGAGTTGTACTGCCACAAGTGAACGAAACAAATTCCACAAGGTCTCTTTGTAGATGTGCTGGTGGATAATATGGCCCACATCAAAGACGAAAACCTGTAGTTAGTATTCGAAATACTGTACTAGACTAGATACTAGACTGTTCTGTGATACCAGTCCTGGAACATTTCTGACACCTTTTACATTCATCCAATTAGGAAACTTAAATGTAGCCATCCAAATCAATTTCTTGTCCACCCTTGTCTTTTCTCCCTTTAAAAAGTTCATTGAGTCTCTGTCTTTCTACATAAGAGTACAGAAACATGCAGGTCTTGCAAGAATCCTTGTTTAATTTAATACATTTGTACCCCCCCCCGCCCCATTCACCTCAAACAACCACAATTGCTTTCATTCTACTGTTTCAACCCATCTTCCATTGAGCATCTGTTTATCATTTGTTTCATGCTCTCCCAACAGGGGCCACCAACCTTTTTGAAACTGTGAACTACTTCTCAAGTCCTGATTCATGTCAAGGGCTGCCAGTGTTTGAAACACTTCTGAAGTAACAAATTTATTTTACCTTTAATACGATTGGCATGTATTAATAATAATTGATGGTATTCATTTATGTGAAGACACTAATCATGTGAATTATTTGTCTCAATAATTGAAAAGCAGTCATTGTCAATATGCAAGAATTATTTCAAAAAACCTGTGCCAGTGCTGATTTTCTCAAATGATCACTTCTATAATATTCCAAGAAAATCACAATGTCCCATCACTGGTGAACGATGTTTAGAACAGTTCTGTGGGCTACTCATGTGGTCTTTCGTGCTTACTTGGTGCCCACTGGCACCACCTTGGGGACTGCTACTCTATAGCAACTTTCTCAGGTAAAACAAATCTGGATGGAAAATACGACAATGGCCTTTAGTTGTTCATTCTCAACTTCACTCAGTATAATTATAACGAATGAAGCCATAAACGCCTGATAAATGTAATTATAGATGCATCAACAATTAAACTTGATTGGCTGACCTGTCCCAGGGGCCGATGAAACCTTGTTTGGTACATATTGACCTCAACGGTTGGAATTATTGATTTTTGTTTCTCTCTTGACTATTCAGATTCATTTTTCATTCTTTGTACATTTCATATAAATACTTTAGATATCTGGCGTCAAATTCATCTTCCTCATGGGACATATTGTAGTTCGGGTTGACTGTGCAACCATATATTTGTCTTATCACCTCATTACGTTATCACATACACAACAAATTGTTTTGGGAGTTTTGAAATCACAAGTCAAGGGGGAAAATGTTTGTTCAACTCTGAACTATCATGCAGTTTATTTTGAGAAAAGGGGGAGGACAATAAAAATTGCAAGACCATTTTGGAGCAGATTTTACCAACCAGAATGACGGGATTTGTTTGCAGGCCACATGATGATATGTTGTGGTTTTCCGGATCTTGCATTTGGCACTTGTGCAAAAGTAAACAAAAATTTTCAAAATACAAGTTTTCGTTTTTTACATGACTGGTTGCTTCAGATCAGACTTACTCAAAATATCCTTTGCCATAACTTGCATGGCCATGCACACTACGGACAGTAACGGGATGTGCGACAATTTTGGACTGGAACAGAACGGCTGTTCAGGAAAATCCAGAAATTCCCGATGGCCATCATCTGGTGGCTGGCATATATCCCACTGGGTCGTTGTTGGGCTTTCCATGACACGACTGGTACAAGTCAGTATCTAGCCTGCGAGCTAACCAGGCTCCTCTCAGCCAGTGGGTGGGGCCAGCAGCTAGCTTGCGAGCTAACCAGGCTCCTCTCAGCCAGTGGGTGGGCCGCGGCCTCATCCGTGGCCTCACCTAACTTGATGGCATGTCGGTGTATGAGCCCACATAACACAGAAAGTCAACCATTTATTAAAGCCGGTGGTACATTAAAGTCAGCTTGAGGCTTACTCTACACAACAGACATTTGACCACATACTTCCTGCTAATTATATACAGTATTTTCTGGAAACTCAGCACGTGTTTTGGTACAAGAGATTATATTACTGGCCCACGGACTGATGGTTGGGGACCACAGTTATAAAGTAGTGATTCTTAACCAATGTGCCAGGGCACACTAGTGTGCCATGAGAGCTCTTAAGGCACAGGTTTCAAACTCAAGGACCGGGGGCCAGATCTGGCTCACAACATTGTTTTATGTAGCCGCCAAATGCGATCCATGTGTGTCGACTTCATGTTTCTATCAAATTGTCTTCACTTTTAACAACAATGAGATTTGAGAAATTACAAGCATTTGCTTGTTACCAATCGCTCCTTTAAAATAAATTAGAAAATAGTGGAGCAAACAATTATTTACTAGCTTCTGATTTCAAAACTAGTTATCCATCAATTTGTTGTGTATATGTGACAAGGCAACCTTTATATTAGTTCACAGTCATAACGGCCTATGACATTTTATATGTACCTTCCCTTCCACTTTTTAAGGGACCAAAAGTATTCGGACAAACGAGCACAATCATATGAATTGTCACTTTTCAATACTTTGTTGGAAATCCTTTGCAATCAATGGCAGACTGAAGTCTTGAACCATGGACATCACCAGACGCTGGGTTTCATCTCTGGTGATGTTCTGTCAAGGTTCTGCTGCACCTTTCTTCAGTTCCTGCTTTTTCTTTGGGAATTTTTATTTCAATTTTGTTTTCAGCAAGCGAAATGCATGCTCAATTGAATTCAGGTCAGGTGATTGCGACTTGGCCATTGCAGAACCTTCCACTGATTTGCGTTTAAAAACTCTTTGGTTGCTTTCACCCTATGCTTAAGATCATTGTATTTGCCAAGTGCCGTCCAATGAGTTTTGAAGCCATTGGCTGAACATGAGCGGATAGAGCCTGAAACACTTCAGAATTCATTCTGTTGCTTTTGTCAGCTGTCTCATAGTCATCAATTATAAGAGATCGAATTCGCTATGACACTACCTCCACCATGCTCCACTGATGAGGTGGTATGCTTTGAATCGTGAGCCATTCCTTCCCTTCTCCATACTTTTCTCATTCCATCATTCTAGCAGAAGTTGATCTTGGTCTCATCCATCCATAAGATGTTGTTCCAGAACTGTGCAGGCTCTTTTAGATGTTTCTGAGCAAACTCTAATCTAGCCTGATGTTTTTGAGGCGCACCAATGGTTTACACGTTGTGGCGATCCTCTGGTGAAGTCATATTTCAATTGTTGACTTGGACACTGATACATCCACCTCCAGGAGAATGTTCCTGATGTGGTCACCTGAAGGGTGATTTCTTGATAAGAAAAATAATTAGTCTGTCATCTAATGTATTTGTTTTCTGTGGTCTTCCAGGTTTTTTTTTTTGTGTTGCTGATCTTGCCAGTTCCTTATGTCTTTTTAATCATTTACCAAAAAGTTGATTTGGTCACTCCTGATGTTTTTGCAATCTTTTTAATGTTTTTTTTTCTTTCCGCCTAATGATGGCTTGCTGCACTGATAGTGACAGCTCTTGATACTTCATATTGAGAGATGACCTCACCAAATTCCAAATGAATATAGGACAGTTGAAATGAACTCTAGGTCTTTTATCTGTTCCTTATGAGTGAAATAATTAGGGAATTATAGATACTTGTGCATCGAACACATGACTAGCCAACAGTCCAAATTTGGTCCCTTAAAAAGAGGAAGACACATATAAAATGTATTGTAACTTGTACACCATTCACTTGATTTGGATATACAGGTGCTCATCAAAAGATGTGAATATCATGAAGAAGTAGATTTGTTTTCAGTAATACTATTGTAAAAGTGAAACTTGTGGAATGCATACATTCATTCCACACAGACTGATACATTTTATGACATGACATGCATCTATTTTTTGAAACATTTTTGTTTTTGTGCCGTGAGATTTTCAAAATTTAAATATGTGGCTTGGCTCATCAAAGGTTCGGAATCACTGTTACAAGACCACTGACAAGGGGTCATAGCAACGTCAGATTAGCTAAATTAGCATGCTTTGATATTTGGCGCTCTCTCGTGGACAGAATGTCTAACGTTTATCAGTGTTTATCTTCTCATTTTTATGGATTCTTCTGGCTGTATAGCAGAACATGATTTTTATTTAAAACGACATCCGTCGACGATGCATCGTGACGAGGTGGCCGAGTGGTTAAGGCGATGGACTGCTAATCCATTGTGCTCTGCACGCGTGGGTTCGAATCCCATCCTCGTCGGCAGACATTATTTAGTTGCTCCCTGTGAAATATCTTGACCCTATTTTGTCCTTCCAGAAGACACATATATTGGATGTTTATGGACAAAACAATGTTGAATTAAATCTTAGTAAATATTCAATCGCCAACGGTCGACATTGTGCAGTGTTTGCAGAACGGAGGGTACGTGAACGCAACACGCGGCGCCATCGTGGCCCAAATTCTAGCGAGCTCTGTGTGTTTTTGTTGGGCGGGTTGTAAACATGGCGTTGGAAGCCTGGTACATGGACAACTCTGATGAAGACCAGAGAAAGCCGCACAAGCTCGATCCGAATCGACCTGTTTCGTTGGAGGAGTTAAAACATCTTGGCGTTTTTTACTGGAAGGTAACTGTTATGCCGCAGTAGTGACAATCACGTGCTTTCAGCATACACTTTTGCCGACACTTACCGAATTTGGAAGGAGTTTGCACATTTGTGGGGTGGTGCAACCGTTCTGTCAACAATTGCAGAACGTTTGCAGGATTGAGTGCTTGACTGTCGACAACAATTTTTACCTGCATTGTTACTAATTGGAAAGAAACTCACAACTGTATGTGAAAGAAAGGCTACTGACAAAAAGATAGCGACACCGTTTTGGACTTCCGGATGAAATGTCAGGGTGCATGTTAAAATACATGGTTACTTTTACAAGTGAACTTAAAAATTTGAATCCTTCTGTTCTGAGCTTTTATTGTGTGTGTGATACACGGTTACTTTTACAAGTAAACTTAATTTTTAAGCCTTTATATTCTTAACTTTTTTTGTGAATAGTGTATTTCGAGACAACAGATGTCCGATGCTATTCAGCAGCGAAGACATACAGTATGTTCCAGTATTGTGGTTTTGTTGCAGCTCAATGCGGACATCTATGAAACAGACCCAGAACTGCAATGCATCAGGAAAGAGCGAGGCTACTCCTTCATGGACATCATCACAATTGAGAAGAACACACTGACAAACTACGAGGAGAAGGTAACGTGCAAATGATGTTCGAGGTTTTCTTTAGCACAGTTATGGGTTGAGTTACCATTTCGAGTTTGTGTTTGCATCACCAGCAACTGTCTGCTTGTTGGAGCATGAAACGGAGAAAATCTCTGTCTCTTATCAGTTAAAGATGTTCTTTGAGGAACACTTGCACTTGGATGATGAGATTCGCTACATCCTTGATGGCCAGGCCTACTTTGACGTAAGGGACAAAGAGGACCGCTGGATAAGAATTGCCATGAAGAAAGGTGACCTCATTACCCTGCCAGCCGGCATCTACCACCGCTTCACCTTAGACGAGTTGGTAAGTCTGATCGCCGAAATAGACGGAACTTTTCAACCACTGATGGGCGAATGCTTCTGGTTCATTATACTGGAGACATGGTGGTATGTTTATTCAGTTAGAGTAAATATTTACTTGAAGTCAGACTTAATTAAACATACTGTTTGCATAAGAATTTAACATTTTGTCAACACCATTAAAGATTTAGAACATCCCCACTGTTGATGTCTACCACAACACTTTGTGGTATGCGATCGCCTCGTCAGTAAAACATCTTAACCGACTGACCTGTGAGGGGCAGCATGGTGCCACAGGTCATCTATACTTGTAAAATATTAAGAAGTAGTTGACTTAGTAGTCAGAAGTTGGAAGAAGTGACATGCAGGTTGCAGAGAAGTCAAGTTTCAACTTTCATGTTTCAAAGAAGTCCCAAGTTACAACGGTCATAATCAAGGAAGTCAAGGCTCACTGGTGAACATGTTCAAATAGACCCTACCTCCGTACGTCATTTTCCCCACAATATACTGATTGTATTTTTTTTTTTCTGTCTCCATAGAATTACACTAAGGCCATGAGGCTGTTTGTTGGGGAGCCAGTGTGGAAAGCCTACAACAGGCCAGCGGATGACTATGAGATACGAAAGAAATATATGGCTTCTCTGCAGGAAGCCTGAAAAAGCGCAAGACTGCAGTCTGTGATTTGGGACCTCTGATCAGAACATGATTCTGAGATTACACATTTTCATGTTCTTCAAGATGCAGTTACACTACACAAACTTAAAGCTGGTGTCTCAAACTTGACTTATGTTGGGGGGCTGCTGGAGATCAGGCTGTGTCCTCCTCAAAAAATGGGTTCAAGTATTCCAAAAAACACAACTAATCCAATCTTCTCAAGTTTTTATTAATAACAGTACAGAACATTCACGGTTCTTCAGAACGTGAACAAGATTGGTGACCCGGTCCTCTCATCTCCCTTTCCATTCTTGACAGCATGTCTAGTTGAGTAGTGATGTCTGATTTCTTCAGCATCACAACTTTCTGGGTGTTTTTTTCATGCCGAGCGCAGGTCAAGCACAAGGAGCAGTCTAACTGCGCATGGGTGTAGTTTTCTTTCTTTTGATATTTTGCTAGACTTTGCACAGGTGGAATTGGGCATAACAGGTTATTTGCGTCAAAATCAGAGCGATCGGAGCACAGTACGACCAAGTACGCCATGCTTGACTTTTCCCGGCCAATCCCAGCGCCGTACCTCATTTGTGTCAAAATTAGAGCGATCGGAGCACGGTACTCCCAAGTGTGCCATGCTTGCCATTGCGTAAACAGAAAGAGACTCTCTTCAGCCTATGCAAGGCATTGGCAGGTAAACTGCAAGCTCTCCCCTTGTGGATGATGGAGTCAGCCATGCATGTGACATTGGCAAATGGAGACTGCCTTGACCCCCCCAATCATGAGTCTGTGTGTGACCCCATCAACACTCCCTTCCCCAAGTGACGGAGGTGCTATTAAAATATTTCTAAGATTTGTTTGATAAATTTATTTTTACAATGATTAAGAGGGCTTGTCCCGCACTGGTGTCATATTTATGAATGGAATCCGATTACATCAACCACTCACTTCAGCAGCGCGTCAAATTTGTCTGCCTGCGTCCTGATCAAATACACTAAAATCGTGTTCCACTAGCGCAGACTACTTTTTGTTGCCAAATTGTCAGATGAGACGGGGGCGTGTTAACTTTGTGCGCCGGAATGCCCAGAGAGGTGCAACACAGCCCCAAGTATTCTAGACTACACTTGCGCTGGCATGAAAAATTGTTAAGTGGGCTGTCACTTATATAGCGCTTTTCTACCTAATTAATAGGGGCGTAATTTAAAATCAGAGCATTCATATTAAAGCTTCTTGCTTTAAAGCTTTCATAGTGACTTATTTCTTTGTCTAGCACATCAACACAAGTACATGCTATTTTTTTCTGTCTGACAATAAAATGAGTGAATCAGTCATTTTAAATATTTCTAAAGTTACTGTCATTATGGTAGGAACTGCTTGTGGAGTATTCCCATTGCACTCTCAAATTATATTTCTTTTATTGGATTAAGACAGTATTTCTCACATAAAGATCAACACAATATGTAAACAAAACAATGTTTTTAAGAACATTTTGGATTATTTAGTTCAACAAATTACAACCATTGTTTATTTTGACATCTATCTACGTGTCAATATACAAGTATATACACATTTATATACACACACATACTCTCCACACATTTATATATATATATACACACTATTGTGTGACATACAATGGATGGATAGTTTACATGGCCTCTATTCAAATGTTAGGTTTTTGTTTTATAAAAATAAGGACCAAGACAAAACTTTTTTAGTCTACAATGGTGATCTCGGTTTCTTTATTTTTGCTTCACCTGTTTTTTTTTTTTTTTATTAATTATTTCATGTCATTGTTTCCTGTCCTGTCATTGTCATCACAAAAACCTGGCATTTGAATAGGGTTGTGTAGGCTTTCAATATCCACTCTATGTATGTAGTTGCATAAACGGACACACACACACACACACACACACACACACACACACACAGTGGGTCCCCCTTGTTGTTTTCAGGGGAAATTGTAATGCAACCGCAGTGGTTTATGTATATTGTATGAGTTAATGAATCCCAGCATGAGAAAGCTTAATTCAAGTAGCATTAGAGTCAGTTAATCCAGGAAAAGTATTATAAATGTGTTCTTACAGGGAGAAGTTTTGAAAGGACTCTTTTTGCAGTGCAAGTTTACTGGACTCTGAAGCAGAGTGAGTCTCAGCATAATGCCCTTTGTCAAGTCTCACATTGTTAACCTGCAAATTTGAAAGAATCTAATATTCATTTCATTAAATGTTTACCAAATGTGAGGCAGTTGGCTTGGCATCAAGGTTTTGGACTAGCATGGTGGTATCCCCCTGTCTTGACTTGTCACACATGGAATCCATCCATTTATGTAATTCATAAACTCAACCAATCAAATCAAATTCAGGATAATTTTCTGTCACTGGCAATTATGCCATTTCTGAGCGCTACCGGCAATACCAAATACCACAAAAGCACCACATCTTCAATGGTCAAACAGTCAACATATGGTGGAGCTTAAGTGTCTTTGTCATGTTTGAATGATAAAATAAATAAGAATCTAGGTATTCCAATTATAGTACTTGCTTAATTTTCCAACAAACCCAGATTCAAAAATTGTCAAAGCATTGCTTTGAGTGGCTAAAATCGTCATAATTCTAATGTTTCAAACCTTTTTGCAGATGGAGAAGAAAACAAATGCCTAACTTTGAGAAACAAGGAGAAGACCATTTCCACCCCAGGTCTTGGGGTTTCAAACCAGTTTTAGGCACTGAGTATTGAAGCTGTCTCCTTCCCGGCAGGACACAGCCTCCAACAGCGCCTGCTTCTTTTGGGTGCTGCGTGAAGATTCCAGTTCATACATAGTGGTCAGATTGAAGAGGACGCTCTCGTGCAGGTAGAGGGCTGGATCCTGTTGCACCAGGCCTTCCAGCTTGCCCAGGGACTCCTTGAGCCGGCCCAGATAGAGCAAGCAAACTGCTGCGTTGTTGTTGGCCTGGTTAGGTATTAAGATAAACGAGCAAACGGCTTAAGATAATGGCGAGGTGAATGCAATTAGCAGTGTGGCCAAGACTTACAACTGGGTTTTTTGGGTCCATCTTTAAAACGTCCATGAAGGATGCATGTGCTTCACCATAGTTGTTCTGACTCAGGTAGACAAACGCTCTGGAAATCCACATAAACAAGTAGTGCTTTATGTCGAGCGGCAGTCATACTTTGCATGTATGTTAATATATATCGATCAATGTGCATCTTTGTATGGACACAGAAATGTTACAAAGTAATCATAATTATTACTAGTATAGAATACATTTGTTTAATCTTAAAATAATATAAGTTTTAGTGCTTGGGACACATTTAAAAATGTCATTTATATATGCATTAAACAGCCTCGGGCCCAGCACGGAACCCTGAGGAACACCATAAACAATGCCAAGATCTTCTGATCTATATTGTCCCGTTTTAACATACCGGTATTATATCCATCCTGAAAAGTAACTTTTTAACCGATGCCTTGCTACGCCACCAATACCGTCCTGTTCCAGTTTATTAATAAGGATTGAATGGTCTATTGTATCAAACACTTTATTAAAGTCAACAAAGATACCAACTGCGTGTTTTTTCTGTTGAAACACAATGATTTATTCGATCGCGTCAATTATTACGTTCAAGGTAGGTCTATTTGTTCTAGAACAATATTGTCCTTCATTTATTAGTTTGTGCTTCTCTAACAAAAGTCTAAGTCGAGAGATGAAAAGCTTTTCCAGAATTACTGAAAACAGAGACAATAGAGTGATGGGTCTATAATTAGTAAAATGAGGCTTGCACTCATTTTTGTACAAAGGTTTTACTCTATCATCTTACATTTCAATTTCAGCAAAACTTCATGCTCAGTATAATAGCACACTTACTCTAAACTAGGTATACCTACGCAACATGATCAGAGAGCTATTTAGAATATGCGGGGCTCCCATGTAGATAAATAGATTCCCACTGTGTGGGTGGGATTTCTGTACTCTATTCCCGAGTAGGTAAATAGCTGCCCACTGCTGAGGGACACTCGTCATATTCACTGTGATGGCTTAAGTACCAAAATCTGATTTTCTCTGACGCATTTAAATGTATTTGTGACAAAAAAAAAAAGGACATAATTACAATCATTAAAGCATCATAATCAGTGCTACATCACCCACCAGAAGCAAGCTCAGTTTGAACATTATCAGCAATCTCAAGAGTGGCCACAGACTTGTATAAGGACATTAAACATATGCACCTTAGGCACCGGCAGACATTTGGCCATGGAATAGAGGACTCGCGACTGAGTTATTTTATAGAGACATTTTGCAAGCATGCTAAATGCAAATTTCCAAAAAACACACAGACCTGTTCATTAGCACGCATGTTGTGAGGCTGGGCTCGCTGTCTGTCTTCTGGCATGTTTTTTCCACATCGCAGAAATACATCTCAGCTGTCTTAATGTCTCCAATCTGAACAAAGAAGCAAAAACACATTACACCGAGTCATGGCTTACAGGATTTGTTTGGCTTTAATGTTTGCCGAACAAGAACCCCGTGTATAGTTTTTATGCCTATGTCACGAGGTATGGATGTGTGTTGATGTATCAACCTGCAAGAAGATGCGTCCTATGCCACTGAGCAGCTGTGCTCTCTGCTGAGGTTCATATTGGATGATGGCTTGATAGACCTCCACAGCCAGAACATAGTCCTGTGGCGAGAAATGGATACCGTTTGACGTATGAAAGTCGTCGAAAAAGAAAGGGAGAAGGTAGAAGAAAAATGAAAAAGCTTAGCAAAGAACTAAAAGGCACCGAAATTGCAGACAAATGAGGTAAAGGTGAGGGACGCAGCAGGAGGCAGAGACAGGTGGAGGGCAAGCTGAGCGGAGGCATGGGGAAAGCGAGCGAGAGAGGGCATTAATCAAACATATGGAGTAATAGCGGGGCGAGGTGACCCAACTCCCACCTCCACATTGCTCACACTGTGAGTCGACTACTGAGTAGGGCCAGGCAGGGCGGTCAAAAAGGCAGATGTGTGTGTGGGCTGCCACACTACTCTGGGCTTTAGTGCGCACATTTCTGCAAGTATTAATGGATGCGTGTGATTTGGATTTATAAGTATGTGTCAATACCAACTTGGGAAAACGGAGAGCAAATTTCATCTTCATTGCATTTGTCTATATTCACTCTTCAGCAATGATTCTAATATTTAAAACAGGCCGGCTCTTGTGATTTTTCAAGGTGACATGTTGCTTCTCCCCCAGAGTACGGCATGAAAGTATACACAGGTATACAATATACATAATCTATTGTTTTGGATTGTGTTCTGGATTTATTTTGAAACAACCTAAGAATTGTCATGCAATTGTAGCAACCAGCAGTGGTGTGTAGTCAAGGCCTTCAAGGTGCCCTCTGCTGGCCCCAAACACTATCAGAAGCACAGAAACTATAATTACAATGTACCGTATATTCCGCACTCCGCTTCGGAATATAAGGCGCACCTTCAATGAATGGCCTATTTTAAAACAGTTTTCATATATAGGGCGCACCGTATTGTAAGGCTCATAGAAGCCACAATAGTGGCTGCAGTTGTGTTATGCATCCACTAGATGGCGCTATGCCCATGGAAATACAATACAATACAATACAGCTTTATTTATCTAGAGCTTTCACAAACGCTGCAGCTGTAACAAAGCGCTTTACAGAACATTTAAAATAGTACGTCCATGAAATCAGAACATTGATCCGCATATAAGGTGCATCGGATTATAAGGCACACTATCGGCTTTTGAGAAAATTGAATGCTTTTAGTGCGGAAAATACGGTCCATGAAATTGGACAGTACACTCTTACAATCTTTTTGTCATAATTTCATAGTGTGTGTGTGTGTGTGTGTGTGTGTGTGCGTGCGCAAATACTGTTTGCCCACTGCTTTCAGAATGCCGAATGCTGCTCCCCCCCGTCTTTGAAATCACCCTTACTTTTTTAAACCCAGATGATTTTAGATTCACCATGCGGTTCACAAATCCTCAGTGACTTCTTCGAAATGGTTCAGTTCTGTTTATACCCCTGATAGCTTAAAATGCACATCAGGTTAATAACCAGATATTAACAAATGGACGAATAAAGCCTGAATCTGCCTGCAAGGTTGTGATTTGTGAGGCTTTACAGCAATTTTTTTTAGCTACTTCAGTACAAAAAGTCCTACCGATAAAACCGGTGCACAACAATGAACAAACATTACTGTGGATGAGAGGGAGGCATTTATGCTGACATGTAGCTGATTTTTACACTATTTGTGAGGCATTCTTCCCATGTGTTTCCGGTTGACGTATGAAAGCGTAGTACTGATTGACCATTGAGTTCACTGCAATGAGTTCCACACTTTTGAGACCCCTAACTGTGTTTTGTACACCAACAGAGCATTGAAGTGACACAATACTAATCAAGTCAATCATTTTCACAATGTTTGAGAACATCAACAAATAAATAAATAGCCAACCATGAAAACCGGGGCCGGATTCAGGTTTGTCATCTTGACACTAGATGGCACTGTGGTTCTCTTTACGTTCAGAAAACGCCTCACCACCTTTCCCTTTCTTCTGTTCCTCTCTGACCAAGAATCCAATTAGTGGTCAGTCTGGGGGGATTTCACTGTGAATCCTCCACTCGCTTGGCATCAGAGCGTGCTCTCACTCTCTCTCTCTTTGTTGCACACACAAACACACTAACACCACACACCAGCGACCCCCCCCCCCTCCTCACACACAGGCAAACTAGACACTTGTATAAGGACATTAAACACACGTACCTTCATCACCAGCAGACAGTTGGCCATGGAATAGAGGACTCGACTGAGACGAGATTTCCACAGCTTCAGAGATTCTAAAATCACCAAGAAAGGATACAGGGCAGATGTTTGATGGTTTGATGTTGACTTCCTGTTTTCATCACACCTTTTTGGGTCCCTGCTCCGAGACCCGTTACTTCCACATATCCTACTTTCCTTTTAATTCCCTTGCTTTACTCCTCCACACCGGGGTTTGTTTTAAGAGGAGGCGATAGGGAAGACACTGCGGCACTTTTTTTCCTTCTTTCCCTCAGACAGTACCCCCTGTGGAAGCGCTTTTGTAAAGGCCTATTATTATTCATCGCGGCACACCTGTGTGTGTGTGTGTGTGTGTGTGTGTGTGTGTGTGTGTGTGTGTGTGTTAGGGAGGGGAGCTAATCACTCAGTAGGGGTCTGATGTGCGAAGGCATGCCCCTGTGTTATTGACTTGACTGTCGGCTGTCTGTGTGGGCAGGGCGAGGAGAGACAGAGGGCAGAGCGATTACACAAACTGGCAGCAATGGCGCACCAGCAGCAGACATTCACGCACACCATCCTGACAGTTTTTCCCCAATTATAAGCAAGTGTCTTGGTACGTTTTACGTTTAGCTCACATTTAGCAACTGCCATCATGTTTTTCTAAGGCTTTATATTAAACTTACTTCTTGAGTGCAAAGGGGGGGGGGCAGACTGAGAAGAGCCCGCAAAGAGATTTATTGCTAGGTTGAGTAATTTTGAAGGACAACAGTTTTGCAGAAGGGTAATATTAGCGGCGGTGATTACCGTTTAATTCCACACCACGTGCAGATGCTAGTAGCTTGGAGAAGACTGATATGTATTGATCTGTTCTGCTGGCTGGGCTAGAGAAACCGTCCTTGGTATTCAGCATGAGTACGGAAGCAGTGAGGTGCTGAACACTTTTAAGAGCACACATTGACGTGTTTGGAGGTGGTGGACAGTGTGTGTGTGTGTGTGTGTGTGTGTGTGTGTGTGTGTGTGTGTGTGTGTGTGTAGCCGCGGTATGGTGCAGTATCGCACCAGGCGTGCTTCAGTGCTCGTTTGTTCGTGTGTGTATTTCCCAGTGGGGTCTGTGACCTCACTTTCCTCCAGTGTGTGAGGCAGTCTGGGCCCAGAGCCAGGTCTGCAGCCTAAAGTCTGCTTGAGTGAGCATGTGTGTGCTTACCTTGCCTATTCTCCATTGTTAGGGTGATCATGCAGCCATCCTCAGCCAAGCCTTTCTCCAAGTTATCCACGATCTGTTCAAGAAACGGTTTCACTGCAAGAATAGAACTGTCGGATTTCTGTGTATACTGGAATCAGCATATTCAATAACTCTAAAATCTAACCATATTTCCTTGTTTACAAAGGTTGACTTAAGTATTTGTCTGGCTTTTTATTTTATTTTTTTTTGTGGGGGTGAATTTTGTCATGTAAGTGTGACATATTATTCAGATCTTTATGTTCATCTGGAGGCTGTGCTTGTTTGTTCAAGTACTAACTGTGAGGCAGACAGTTTTGAGATTGTGCAGGCGGTCCAGAGCCTCCTGGGGCTTAGCCAGGTGCTGGGGAAGCTCGGCATGCAGTAACCGCATGGAGAATGGCACCATGGAGCCTGTTAGGGAGGGAAGGATGGCAAAAAAAAAAAGAGAGGGGGGTGGGAGAAAATACAGAAGATGAGGAAAGATGTGAAGATGGGGAAGATCAGAAATGGGGTGGGATGAGGACATTGTAGGAGAGAGGGAAGAGGAAACAAAGGTACATGATGAAAATGCAAACCGCTCCACACACACACACACACACACACACACACACACACACGCACACACGCACACGCACACACGCACACAACCCTGGAGGCAAGAACCTACAGATGGCATTGAGCTATGTATGCCTGCTTATTAAACCCTCTCATCGTTCTTTCTGAACATTGCACAGTACAATCACTCATCTCTACGCTTCATCCTTCTGTGTCTCTGTCTCTTCCACACACATTATTGAAAAAGAACCTATGTTCAGGAAAGGCCCTTAGCTTTGATTGGGGGTTCTTTGATACCGTCATCAAATTTCATGCATCTTTGGGCACCACTTCCACCCGTCTCGGTATACTCCACTTCAAAAGTATTGGAACTGAAGCAAATTATTTTTTTTTTACTTAAACATTTTTTCTTGGCTTTAGACTATAAACAATCCGGTTGGAAATCATAAAACGGAAATGAGCTTTAATTTTAATGTATTTACGGCTACACCCGATACACGAGTTTTAGCAGGACCTATTTTGATTAAATCCAGTCATTTTTCATGTGAGCAACTATACTGGAACATATTTCAACCTGTTTGAGCAATGGACACTTTTTTTTTGTTTTAATATCTGTAACAATCAGTTATGAGGGGCGTAAAGAGTTAGCGTTCAGTGATTTGCAAAACAAAATAGACAATTCATAACATTTGCCGGGTTCGACCAACAGCCCTCTTCGTATATCTGTAAATAACTCAGAGATGAAAGTGGACTTTCCTGAAAAATCCGGGAAAAAATTTTTTTTTTTTCGAAATCTCTGAGATATGGCGAGGCCATGAGAATGCGAGGCGAGGGTATGACTGTTGTGGCGACGCCAATCGAGCGAAGCGCCCGTCTGCAGAAGATAGTCCGGTGCTCTCTGCTGTGCGTGCGTCAGCGCGAACATGTACGCAAGCGCGTCTTTTGATTTCAAGCAATCAGCGCCGACGCAACCGACGTCACACACGACAACAGCTAAGCTAAGCTAACCGAGATGACACTCGAAGTCGGACGGACACGATTTTCTGCCAATCTGTGTTTCCCTTTTTGTCCAAATATAGTTTTTACGACAACTGTCTTGTCCACGGCGTCTTTTATTCGTTCTACTGGGGTTTAGCAAGTGTGTTTATAAAGAGACAAAAATCTCTTTACTGTTACTAGTGTTAGTGCCTCAACATGGCTACACTTGTGAAAGCAAAACAACGAACTCAAACACGCATTCATTCAATGTTGTCAACTAATATCCAGATTAATTTTAGGCAATTTTTCCTCAATTCTCCGGAGAAATTTTCATTAAAATTTGAAAATCCGGAATTCCGGGAAAATCCGGAGGACTTTCATCTCTGAATTTAACTACATTTTGCCACCAAAAGCCATTTCTCACTTTTGTTTTTGTTGCATTATAGTTTGAGGCATCACAACAACAAACAAAAGATATTTGTTAATATTTGTTACACAAAACCCTTTTTTCTGGTGAAATAAAAGAGTCTATGCTTTTTTTTGGTCGGTTTGGAGCTCATTTTGTGACGGAATACAATATACTGTAGTTCTTCCAAGGTCAATCAAAACACTGTAAAATGGTTGGCAATAGGGAAGTCGTTTTGAAAACAGCTGGGCAGTGAGTACAACGTAATTTTCTATTAAAAAAATAACAACACACTTATTACAATTACATTTGATGAAATTAAATGACAATGAATGTTAATCGTGCATATTCGTCTTAAAGGGATGATTATTGCAGGCCTTAGACCTGGTACACACATGCGGATTTGCAAATTGCAAAAGATTATTTCCACTGTGACGATCCCCGCATATAAAGAGAGAAAAATCAGACATTGAACAGTTTTGGTCGTGTTGTGTGTGATGTGCACCGATAATCTCAAGCACAGAACACCACATACAAATAATCTGATCCACCATCGCTTCTATCCAATCCTCCGAGGCAAAGCTCTCATGTGATCAAACGTGCTCTCACAAACACGATAACACGCAGACACTGGGTATGCGCCGATGGTTGCCGCGTGCTTCCGTAGGGGGATCCGAAGCGGGAGTGTTGCAAGAAGGCAATTACGGAGAGGGGGGGAAAAACTGCTTTGGGAATATACTTTTTGCTGCCTGGGTAACTCACATACAGTATACGTAAAAATCATCAGGGACATATTTCATTTAATTTGGTGCTTCATGTTGGTCGGTCAGAACACTTCTTTGATTGACTATATTCTGTTCATGCCACAGTCCGCAACGTTAAACCGCTCCAGAATAGTTGACTTTCCCCACACACACAAAGATTTTTCGTGTTAAATATTAAAGCTGTTTAATATTTAAGAGTGTCGGCCCAGACTAGTTTTGGACACTAAATCCACTCCTAACAAATCTCAGACATTGGGTAATCATATAGGACAAACATACAAGGCATAAAACAGTTGCGCATTTCATGTGCTCGGTCGGGAAGGGGCAACATCGGGACAAAACCAGCCCAATTGTCTTTGTGCGTTCACAAGATCAAATATTCGTAATATTTGCAATTTCATCTGTGAATAATTGACAAAAAACATTTTTGGTGATCTAATTAGATCCAAATTCTTTAGAGGGCAAGTAGGGCATGGGCAGCGACCTCTTCTGGCATTTAAGGATTTTCTTCTTCTTCTCCTTTCGGCACGTCCCTATTCAGGGGTCACCACAGCGAGTCAGTAATTTCCATCCGCCCCTGTAAACCGTCCTACCAACTCGCATGGTCGTCTTGGCAAAAGTTTTACGCCGGATGCCATTCCTGACGCAACCCTCCCCATTTCTCCGGGCTTGGGACCGGCACTGGGGAACAGTGCACCCCCAGGGGAGGGCACTGCCCCCCAGCGGCTGGGTTGGCATTTAAGGATTTTAATCATGACAATACATGCTCAGTACAAACATCGGGCAGATGAATTGCTTAACAAATGCTTCCATCTATTTTCGAAACTGCTTATCCTCATTTGGGTCGCCAAAAATCAAAATTTGTGTCAGTTCGTTTGCAAGCACAAAGCATAAGGCATTTAATATCGAGCAAAAGAAAGTCAAGTAGATAGATCCGTGTGTGTGTGTGTGTGTGTGTGTGTGTGTGTGTGTGTGTGTTTTACTTTTTTTTCTTGTGGTTGCTGGAAGGCGAAAGCAGATACTAAGTAATCGGAATACATTAGAGAGCAATTCACGCGTGTAAAACGAGGACCAACAAAAGCAAAGAGTTGCTGCAGACAAAAGTGGAGTTGTTCGACCTTCTCAAGGACAGCAAGGTTTCAAAAAAAAAAAAAAAAGCCTGGAAGAAACTTCCCTTGTGCAACATTCACAATGTTTGGCCCAATCTACATTAATGCAAACGTTTTTACTTGAGCAAGGCCTTCTCTGCAGGTTTTCAACACCATTTCTTTGCCCTGTCCATTTGGTGGAAATTTTTCACACTTTTCATGTTTGGCCGACAACAAATTTGTTGTGGACTCTCAGAGGTCAAAACAGAATCTGTTCCAGGATGATGGACAACTGCTGGAAATTGAATATTCTTTACTGACAGTGCAAAAACAACTTAATCACTCAAACGTTGTCTTTAGTGAGGAAGGTGTAACGCGTGTTGCAAATTAGCCACAAGCACCTTTAAAACAAGTGTAACTTGTCACACGAGTAATATGGAGTTAAACACAGTTAAGAGTAATATGTTAAAACATTCTACCCTCTCATGTTCTTCAAGATCCTTCTTGAGCAAGGTTCTTTTAGATAAAACGTTGCAAAATGCATGCAAAAAAAGTAGGGTCCGACAAATTTTGTCAACTTGAGTGTTTAAAGCTCGACTCCCAAATTGTTGCCCTTTGCTCAATGCATAAATAAGCCATGAATGGTCAGTGAGTTCCCACTGGTGAAATTGGCCATTGGGAGTCAGACAAGACTCGCTGGGAACGACCTGCAATTGATCTTAGTTACATGAGTCCATATCAGGACATTTTGAGACCACTTTCAGATCAATTGTGATTTGTCTTTCTGCCATCAGAAGTCAGTTATACTGTATGTCCATTTAGTATGTTCATTTTTCATGTTCCGATTTTCAACTGTTTTAAAAGGATGACAGTAACTGCTCTGTACTCTAAGTGTAGGAGATTTGTAGTGTGAGGGTAGACATATTAGGGCTGTAACAAAAACTGATTTGATTCAGAAAAGTGGTTTTGATTTAAAAGACGCGAGCGCAGTGTATTGGACCAAATTGAATCGTTCTACTTGAAAAGATGTTGATGTAATGTATCGAATCATCTTTTATTGGAGGGATAGATCTTTGAAGGAAAAGCCACATTTACTGTACTGACAAGTCATTGCATCAGGCCCTCTGGAAACGAGCTGAACCAAGACACATAAGACCTTTCTTAGGAAGGTGCACATGCCGACGACGTACATACATTTTAATTTTTGTTGTCATCATGGAGAGTTGTTGGTTTACAAATATCGGCATGTCGCACAGTACTATAATTTGTTGTATTCGTTCCTTCATTCGACAGTTCCACTTGTCACACGAATATGTCATGCCAGACTTGATGTAGCTGACATAGGCGTCGCCATTCAGCCTTCCCGGCCAGCGAGGAGAACACAACCCTGATTGCTGTTTGAAACTGGATTACGCTGAACTGAACTGTGAGCTATTTTGTGTTGTGGAATAAGACTGGAAATTGTAGCGACCTTTCCAAGCATTATTTATGGAAATACTTACTTGGTGATCAAATAAGTACACTTCCTACAGATGTGTCCAACGATGACGGAGGATGGTGTTTTCTGACCAGGGAGTGTGTTGTGTGTGTGTGTGTGTGTGTGTGTGTGTGTGTGTGTGTATGTATACCTCTTCTCCCGGGATATAAAGTGGGGTAGTATTCATAAAAGAGGTCTGGTTGATCCAGATCACCAAAAGGCTCAAATTCTAGCTCAGCATTTTGGAAAAGGTTCAGTTTGGTGAGAAGAGCCAAACGCGCAAACCAAAGCTGGAAAAGACAAACACAAATATACATGTCTTTGGGATACAGGCATGAAAAATAAATGCTTGTTCAATGCTGGTAAGTGTTTTCTTCAAGTACTGTATGTGCGTCATCTGTTTTCATTTGACTGAAAAAAAAAACATGTAAAAATACTGTAGTTCAATAACATTTCTGACATGACTTCCGCTTTAAACAAAGTGGGGACACAGCAAAATAATAACAATTTGAGAAGAGGGACAATAGCTAAATACTGTCGGGATTATTTTGGGGACAATGAGTGCAAATGTATTATTTAAGAATTTCACAAATTTAATTGATAGAGTGCACTTTTCAGTTCCGACAGAAACACAAGCAGTTGTTTGCAACCTACCTGCAGTGAGTTAGCGGTATGAGAAGTCGGCTGTCCAGCTTTTCCGTATCCCTGGCCATGAGCTGTCAAAAGACGACCTGTCAGATCAACTGCTGCACGCCAGTTCTTGCTGCTCTGTAGGGGACGGGAGATAATAAGCCTCGGAGTGTTTGCAATCGCATCTCAAGTCACATCACACACTAAATCTGAGAGACATGAACATTCTGTGTCCGGCACCATTTCATTATTTTACGCAACTAGATAATACAGTCACTCTGTCCAACTAACTGAATTTCGCTAACAGCTGATGGGCAAATTGTTTTCATCTTTTACTGTTGTTTTGAAACATTACAAAAGTGGATATGATGCAATGGCATCCAAAAAGTTACAGTTCGCGGTGGGTGATGGCTGTCAGTTTCCCAAGCCTGAAATGTCGTTCATTACAGTGAAAGATTGGTCACAAAAAAAAAAAAAAAAAAAAAGGGTTTTGAAAATTGTATGCTTCCAAATTTGTGGAAACGTTTTTTAGGAAGTCTGTTTCCTGTTCCCCAGTGCATAAAGATCTGACTGGATGAATTTGGTGACTAGCTTGACTAGTCTGCACAGATCACCGACTTGTGGAGTCACCTGACACAAAAACAAGGCATAAAAAGGTTGACGTTTTCGTTCCTTCGTGTTTGGTCGTGCATCTCTCATCAGCAAACAGTGGGAGCAGAAGTTGTTTCTTTCCAGTCATCCCTACATCATGTAGAGTTCCTCTTTTCTTGATTCAAACCCACTCCCTATTCGGACCGCAAGATATTTGAAAAACATATGATATAGGTGTACTTCTTTATTATCAAATGAAATAAATCATTTTTTCATGTGGAACAATAAAGCAAGCTGTTTTCTAATCTTGTTACTGAGTGCTACTAATGTCACAAGACTGATGGAAATGCGCGTTTAAGGTTGCATGTGATCGGTCAGTCAGATAAAAGCATAAAATTTCATATGAATTGACATCACATCTTTGCAATGTGCATACTGCATGTACCATTATTGTGATGACGGTACTTTTCAACCCCTGAGTCTTCATTTTTTTTCCATTTCTGCCATTTCCTTTTGTATATATCAAATGCCCCTTTGCTACTCTCCATATTGGTCTTTTTCCTCTCCCTTATGGTCCCTCTTCTTATTTGCTATCTTTTATTTTACTGCTGCTTTACTGTAGGTTTTTCTTTCACTTGCTCTCTTTTTCTGCTGAGTCATTAGGGTGAGAAATGAAAGTGAAAACAAGAAGGCAGCCGGCATGGTCAAAGCAACTGCAGCCCTTCTAAAATACAAAATACACAGCAAACGTGTATGCAGCAGTACTACTGTCAGGTTGCAAAGCATAAATGAGTTTGTGAATGTGTATCTTGGTGCTTGTGTGAAATGGACAGAGGGTAAATAGGGATGAGAACATCTAGCATGTACAGTACTTGGCACGCGAGAGCATACAAAACAGCACGCCAAGCGACACCGCAGAAATCAACACTGGAAGTAGGGTTAAAAAAATAATACGAAGAAAAAAATGATGCTATTTGCCAAAATAGTTGAGTGATGGAAACAAGAAGCAGTTGGTGGTAAAGTGAAGAGAAGGGGTGAGCCAGGAGAGCTGCAAGGAAAGAATCAAGCGGAACCAGGATGAGCTAATAAGTTGAGTGCAGAGACTTTACAAGACTTTCCAATGCACTCTAGACCAAAGCAATTCAAATTAAGTGTCAACATAATGGTAATGTATGTATGTATGTATGTATGTATGTATGTATGTATGTATGTATGTATGTATGTATGTATGTATGTATGTATATGTGTGTGTATATATATACCCTCACCGGCCACTTTATTAAGTACACCATGCTAGTAACGGGTTGGACCCCCTTTTGCCTTCAGAACTGTCTCAATTCTTCGTGGCATAGATTCAACAAGGTGCTGGAAGCATTCCTCAGAGAGTTTGGTTCATATTGACATGATGGCATCACACAGTTGGCGCAGATTTGTCGGCTGCACATCCATGATGCGAATCTCCCATTCCACCACATCCCAAAGATGCTCTATTGGATTGAGATCTGGTGACTGTGGAGGCCATTTGAGTACAGTGAACTCATTGTCATGTTCAAGAAACCAGTCTGAGATGATTCCAGCTTTATGACATGGCGCAATATCCTGCTGAAAGTAGCCATCAGAAGTTTGGTACGTTGTGGTCATAAAGGGATGGACATGGTCAGCAACAATACTCAGGTAGGCTGTGGCGTTGCAACGATGCTTCAATTGGTACCAAGGGGCCCAAAGAGTGCCAAGAAAATATTTCCCACACCATTACACCACCACCACCAGCCTGAACCGTTGATACAAGGCAGGATGAATCCATGCTTTCATGTTGTTGACGCCAAATTCTGACCCTACCATACGAATGTCGCAGCAGAAATCGAGACTCATCAGACCAGGCAACGTTTTTCCAATCTTCTATTGTTGCTTGTGGAGGCTCTCAGTCAATGATAGGGAGTTTAGAAACCAATGGGCCTCTTCACCATAGGGGCGTGACTAACCATCCCCACCCAGTCCTCAAACAGGCCACGCTCAGCCTTTTAGCGCAGAGCAACTTCCCGGAGTCTTCACGGAGACTTCAGGGTTGTCTACCGCTGACGAAGCTTCTGTGAGAGAAGCGAAACGTCCTTTTTTGTTTTTTGTTTTTT